CACCTCAGTGAATAGGGTTCTCAAGAAACAGAGAGATTAGACAGTGTGAGTAATTTGAAAATTCAGTAAAACCTTCTCGGTGGTTACTGACATTAGCTACACTGATGGTAAATGTGACTATTTGGGAGTTCTTTGAGGTCCAGCTGTCATAAAAAAATATTTGAGTGATAACACAAATGATTGTAAAGTTTTGGCATCATCCTTTCTTAAAGCTTTCCAGAAAGAGAACTCTCACTTTCCATAAATAATATTTTATACTTAGATTTACACTGAATATAACCTCTTATGTAGTAGGTTAAGTTCTTTTCTTTCTGTGATCAGAGGACATGGAGAATAATTGGTTACATTTTAGTTACAACATAAATCATGGTGCATGATCCACCATTTTCAGGTCTGGTTTTCCCGAATATTCTATAAGATTTTCAAGCACTTTAAGATATTTGGAAAAATTACCTGATTTTTCATTACTTTCACTTAAAATCAAGCTCATCAAGTGCACTACATCCCAGTATCTATTTTTGCAACAACCTAATTGGAGTTATAACTGAAAACAAAAAACTAGAACTTAAAAAAATGATTAGGAATCATCATATTAGATGCAATGATCACATTTTCCAGTCTTTGTTCGCTTGGGTTAATACATACTTAAAAATCATGAGGAGGCCAGCCCAGTGGCCTTGTGGTTAAGTTCTTGTGCTCCACTTCAGTGGCCCAGGGTTTTGCTAGTTCAGATCCTGGGTGACGACATGGTACCACTCATCAGGCCACGCTGAGGTGGTGTCCTACATGTCACAACTAGAAGGACCCACAACTAAAAAGTATACATCTATATACTGGGGGGATTTGTGGAGAAAAAAAAAGCAGAAAAAAAAAGAGAAGAAGATTTGTAACAGTTGTTAGCTCAGGTGCCAATCTTTAAAAAAAAAAATCATGGCGATCTAATAGTTGAAAACAAACTCTATGCTTAAAATACACATACACACACACACACACACACACACACACAGAATGGAAACAAAAGGCTCATGGAGATATATTTACCTGTATTATGTATTCTTTACTTTTACATTTCATTAAAACATGCTTTTCATAACCCACTGAATTAATTTAAAAGCACCTTAGTGGGTGCAACCTTCAGTCTGAACAAAACGTAGACTAGAAATGGAGGCAGAAGTGGGCATGGATGCTCATAAAGTAATATCACAGGTACTAAGAGAGAAATGTACAAAGTGCAAGCAGGAAGAGAGGGAAGTACTTTTATTTAGGGTGGAAATTTCAGGAAGACCTGCCAGAAAAAAGCGACATGTGCAGATTCATAACATATAAATAAGCATCAACAATGGTGGGGGTGAGAAGGTGGGGAGGTGAAGAGGAGGAAGGAACAAGTCTGACGGCAGAGACAAGACGATACTTGAGAAGCATCTTGATGACTGAACAAGAGCTCTGCCCGAATCCAGTGGCTCCCAGTTATGAAAAGTCTCACATGTGCTGAGGAGCAGGGCCTTCGTTTTCTAACAAAAGGAAAGATGTAGGACATACATAGTGGTTATGACCGTAGGCTTCGGGGTCACATTGTCTAGGTTGAAATCCTGGCCTCACTACCTTCTGGCTTGCAACCTTGAGCAGGTTACTTCTCCTTTCTGTGCCTCAGTTTTCTCATCTGCAAATGGGGGCAATCACGCCACTTACCTTACAGAGATGTGAAAATTAAATGAGGTAATACATTTAAAATTTTGTTTTGGCCCATAAAAGCCACAGTAAGTATTAATTGACCTTTATTTTATTATTACAGGAAGATGCTATGTAAAGAAGTGAAAGATGAGGAATCATTGCAGGCTGATTTGCAAGGTCTGTAGACCAGGGGTCCACAAACTACAACCTGAGGGCTAAAGCTAGCAGTGGCCTCTTTCCTTGAGGTCTGCAAGCTAAAAATATTTTTAATATATTTCTAAGGGTTTTAACAAAGAAGAAAAAGAAGAGAAGATCTGTATGTGGCCAATGAAACCTAAAATAATTACTATCTAGACCTTTACAAACAAGTTTTGCCAACCCCTATTGTACATGAATCGACAGGTAACCAAGGTGATTGGGTGAAGATGAAAATAATTACACAGAATAAGTACAAACACTTCCTAAATTCCAAAACCTCCAAAATTTTTCTGCATTTCCCCAGTTGAAAGTTGTAATGGATATTGTGGTTTGCCACCCATTCCAGACTAAGGCTCTTGCTCCCCAACAACAGGGAGAATTGGCCACTGATGGCTCATAGTTGGACTCCTCTCTGGAAACTTCCCTCAGCAAAAGGCAGCAGCCTCTCCCCAGGTGAGGCTCCTTCCCAGGAGCAGTCAGAACTCAGTGAGTTGTTAAAATGGGGAAACAAAGCCTGGTATTAACCCAGCTAGGGCAACTCGAAGGGTACTCTGAATTCTAGAGCGCCCCTTGAGAACTTGACTGCAACTGTAGCACATTTCAGTCTTTCCATTTGCCCAGTCTGTTTCCCTCACTTCCCACAAGTTTTGTTTCTGAGAAACCTCCCCCCCCCAGATTCCTATATGTAAATCCCACCTAAGAAACTGTTTCCCAGGAAATTCAAACCAAGACTGTGGGTGTCAATAGTGGCCCAAGGAAGCAGACTCGAAAATGGGATTTGGGGTCCGGATTATGTACTCCCCAGCTGTCAATGGGGATAATATCAATGATAGTAGACGTAATACTGATAGTCTTGGCCTGTTGTGGTGCAATTGGTAAAATTTTCCTAGCGTTAAACTAGGATGGAATAGCTCTGTAAGGGAATGCACTGGGTGGTGCAGTATCACGGATGTTTGAAAGGGCTGGGAAAATTGAGGCCATGCGTGGACTCAAGAATGTAGTTTTCCATCACCAAGGCTAATCCTCTTTCTATACCTGCTGAATGTGACAGAGGCCAACACTAAGTTCCAGTATGGCACCTCCCTTGAGGCCAATCAGTTACTTGGAAGCAAGTCAATTGCATCAGACATTTTCTACCCTGGGAAGGACAGCCATTTATCTTGACTGGAATCAACCCATATTCGAGTATGAGTTCTCCTTTTGCCTTCAGACTCTCAGTCAGTACCATTATCTTATCTGATGGCATACAGTGTTTTTATTTTGACACATGACTCTGTATCTAATCAGGCCAAAGAACTCATTTTATTATTATTGTTTTTTTAAAGATTGGCACCTGAGCTAACAACTGCTCTCAATCTTTTTTTTTTTTTTTTTTTGCTTTTTCTCCCCAAATACCCCCAGTACATAGTTGTATATTCCAGTTGTGGGTCCTTCTAGTTGTGGCATGTGGGATGCCGCCTCAACATGACCTGATGAGCGGTGCCATGTCCGAGCCCAGGATCTGAACCAGCGAAACCCTTGGCGACCGAAGCGGAGCGTGCGAACTTAACCACTCGGCTACAGGGCCGGCCCCTCAAAGAACTCATTTTAAAGAAAGGGAAATACAGCTTGGTGCACTATTAGATACCACACCTCTCAAAATCAATTCACTTGATATAGTAAAGGAATGGCCTTATGAAGAGTTGGCTGAGGTGACAGTTTGGAAATGATTCCATTTAAAGATAGGACACCGTTTTCTGACGCTCAAAATACATTCTCAGAGACTCAAAACACATGCTGCTATACTCCAGCAGATAGAATACGGGGCTGAGAACTAAGAGAGAAAGTAGGAGGGGCCTTACTTACCATTGCTTCTAGTGATGCACTGAGGAATTTATGTTTCCCAAATCTGCAACTCTGGACTGTGCTGTCTGGTGATCCTATTTCCCAGAGTGGGAATTCTTCCACAAGGGGACGTAGCAAGTGTTTCATTAAACTTTAGGCTCAGGCTGTCTCCCAGTCACTTTCAACCATCTAACTAGTAAGCAAGGAAATGAGTTATCATCCTGCCAGAGTATATGGACACGGCTCATTTTGTGCGCTTTACACAATAAGCACAGGGAAAAACACATTTGGGAAACAGAAGACTTACCAAAGTGCTTCATGGTACTTTTTTGCCCAATTTTCATGATAAATGGACAGGTATAGCAGCCAGTTTGAAAATATTGTGGTGCCTACGGGGCTTAGATTTCTCAGAATTATGACCCCCAGGATGACTATACACCCTAATCCTTGTGAACTGAATATGATGAAACACCGCCATCTTGAATAGAGTAACTTACAGGCCAAAAGGAACTTGTGATGTAATTAAGGTTACTAATTGGTTGAATTTACGATAAAGAGACTATTCTGGACTACCTAGGTGGGTCCATTGTAATCACATGAGATCTTAAATGTGGAAAAGAAAGGAAGAGAATAAGAATTTGTGGTCCCAGTTGGTGCAGCTGAGAGAACATGCATTTGAAGGCAGACCCTGCCAGTTACTAGCTCTGAGACCTTGGGCATGCCACTAAAACACTCTGAGCATGTTTCCTCAACTACAAAAGACAAATATAAAATTTGCAAAAGGTTTCTATGAGAAATAAATTAAACACAATCATTAAATAAATTAAACATAATCATTCATGAAAGGGAGTACACGAGGTACTCAACAGATATTAATTTCCTTCTCTCTTCTAATTTATTGAATGCTAGTACATGTAAAAAAACTATCATAGACAGGGGCTGGCCCCGTGGCCGAGTAGTTAAGTCTGTGCGCTCCGCTGAAGGCGGCCCAGTGTTTCGTTGGTTCGAATCCTGGGCACGGACATGGCATTGCTCATCAAACCACGCTGAGGCAGCGTCCCGCATGCTACAGCTAGGAGGACCCACAACAAGGAATATGCAACTATGTACTGGGGGGCTTTGGGGAGAAAAAGGAAAAAATAAAATCTTTAAAAAAAAAAACTATCATAGACAATACAGGGGATACATAAAATGTATAAGGTTCTACATTTTAAGGAAATTAAACTCTAATTAGGGAGAGACAATATATAGTACTGTAGATACTATGTATATGTGTTTGAGTATATATACATATATATGGTATACATATATACATTTATATGTGTATATATACATATATGGCAGATATGACATTTTAGAATAGTCATCTAGGCCTCTGCTAATTTTATCTCTATTTGAAATTAATGTTGTAATTAGATCGAATATTAAAAGATTAATAGTAATTCTCTTTTGTTAACATTCCTTTGCTTCCTGTGTTTGGTTTTTTTAGCACCAAACTTTTATGAACTGAAGTGCGCTCTCTCCCCTTAGCATCGCATCCACAGCCATCACTGCAGTTGCATTGTGTATAACCAACAGATGGAGGTAGGAATGTTTGTCTTCCCAGCATGTTGTTTTCTCTCTGCACCTGCTCCTCTGTATCATTTCACTCCCAAACACATAGAATTTTCCCCTACGGCGACTGTTTCCAGAATGAGCCAAACACAGAGCCAGCCAAATGAACCCACTCGAGATAACAGAAAATGAAAGGGAAACATTGCAGGAAGCCCGGGTCAGACCAACCCAGATCAGAGACGTCAGCGGGGAAAGGAGCAGCCTCCCCGAGGTCCACACGTGCGCTCTGGGACCAGTGCCTGCCCCGAACGCAGTGGAATTCGCTGCCCTGGGGCTGGGCGCGGCTGCTGCCTCCACGAACGTGGCGTGAGTCGAGTTCAGTCGCTCTTGGAAGGTTTCATTTCTTAACTCTCTTCGGGCGTCCACGGAGCTCCGGGTCTGAGCCAGATATTAACGCTGCACCGGAGACTCGGGACATGGTTTTGATTTCTGCTTGCTGCAGGCAGCCTTGTAGATCCTGGTAGTGAGGGTCGTGTGCAAATTCTTTGCTTGGCTCTGGCTCCGAAAGAATGTCAACATCCAGGCGCGAAAAGCGAAGTCAGAACACTTAACGGGCATCATGAGGATTTTGTAGACATCTCGCTAAGCAGAGAGAAAGTGACTCAACATCTAACGACGGTAAACATGGCAAGGGCTGTCTGTAGCCCAGAAAGGAGAGACATTTTCATTTTAACAGTGGACTTTCGGTAGCTGATAAACTCTCCAGGGTTGACTCGTGAGTGATTTTTGACCCTGGGAAAGACGAGAGATTAAGGGAGATTTTTTTACAATCTTCTTTTAAAGAGAGTTATCTCTGATTAATCCTTTAAAACTTTAAGAGCTCCTGTAAACTAAACTTTCACTTCAAAAAACAAAGCAAAACAGACAAAAGGAAGTCTCAGAATTGCCATCCGCCATTGTGTAATACAAGAACTCCCATGTGTAGTTAGAGATGTTGGTTAATAATGTCTCTGGTTTGGATAAACACTAAAGAGAGTAAAACAGAAATATTTGCAAGTCATGTATTTTTAAAAAATAGCGTTTGTTTTATTTTATAAAATTCACATAGTTCATAGGGAACTTTTACGAAATGCAGATAGATATTAAGAAAAAAAAATGCCTACCATAATCCCAGCATCCAGAGATAGCAATGTACTCTGAAATGTGCCTTGAGGGCAGAGACCGTGGTGGGGGGGGGGGGGGGGGGGGGGGGGGGGGGGGGGGGGGGGGGGGGGGGTGGGGGGCGTGGGGTTTGGTGCTTTAGGTAGATTAGATCAGCACTTCTCAAACTTGATTGACCATTAGGTTGACCCTGGAACTAAAACACAATTAACAACAACCAAACATACAAATCTTCTAAGTCAGATTCTCCAGGTGAAGTCCTTGCTGTCTGTAATTTCAGAAGACTGCATAGGTGATTCTGGTGCACAGTTACTGCTGCAAATGATTGGATTATGTAGTAAAAATGAGAAGAATATAAAATGAAAAGAGAATGAATCAAAAGAAATGGGACTGCGCAAACTGGCGATGTGATTTCTTTTTCTCGGCTGCAGATCGTGAATACATCTCTTAAAGCCTTTAGTCAGCCACAGAGAACTGCCGACACACATTGCTGTTTCGTAGGAGAGCTCCAGCCTTAATCTTTTTGAAACCGTTTCATGCACCTCGGATTCCAACGCCCCACCACAAGCTTAACATATCAGATGCCTGGCTGTGGATTCAACATATTGGTATATTCATTTCCTTAGTTTTCAAACTCCTGACTCTAAATCCTGGATTCAGTATCTTTTTCTTTAAAGGAGATTACACTTGTAACCTATCTTTGTGTGTGTGTGTGTGGAGTGGGAGGGTGGTCTGTAGTTTCTCACTGGTTTTGGTTGAGGCCTTTCTTTTTCTTCCTCTTAGGAATTCCTCCCTCCTGCTCTGGCCTGGTGGAAGCAGCTAGGCTAACCACCTTGGATTAATCCAAGGCTAACATTCTTGCCCATGAGGTTCCTTAGAACTCAGATTCCAAGCCAGAAAGAACAATAAGTGCCCCATTGGAGATCTTCTTTGGAGATCCTCTTTCATTCTTCTTCAAGGCTCTACGCATTGGTTTGTATCCACTGGAGTGTACTTCTTTATTCATTCATTGAACAAATATTGACTAAGCACTTATATGTCCCGGGTACTACTTGGGGCCTTGGGGATATACTAGTCAATAAGACATGCAGAAACTTTGCACACATGAGGCCTACAATCTAGTAGAGTCATACAGAAAAGAAACCAACAAATATGTAATAAATCAGATGGTGATTAGTGCTATGAGAAACAATAAAGCTGCTTAAAAATATATGATGCGGGGGTCATTTTATATAGGATTTGATGAAAATGCCTTTCTGAGAAGTTTGGTGGCTACTGATAGTAGGATGTGCAGATATCTTTTGATGAAGAAAATCGACATGTGTAGCTGGAGCACAGGGGCAGCGAAAGGGGTAGGAGCTAAGGCTGGTGAGATACTGGAGGTGTGAGCTCCACTCTAGCCTTGTAGGCTGCTAGGATGATGGAATTCCGCTTACTGACTGGGAAGTCTTGGGAGGGTTTCTAACACAAGTGCAACATTATCTGACTTCTACTTTTTGAAGGAGGACACTGGTTGCCAAGAGGAGAAGAGCTTGTAGAGGGGGCAGGATGGAGGTTACTGTAGACATTGAAGTGGAGGGTAGTCAGTGGGCACTTGGATGGGAATGGTGGGAGTGGAGGTGGTCATAAAATGTCGGGCTTTGAAGGTAGAATTGCACTGATTTGTGAATGAATTGGATGAAGTTAAGGGAGGAGGAGTGGAGTAAAGGATAGCTTTAGGGTCTACCCTGTTTTTCTTTACTACAAATAATTCTGAAGTAAATAATGTTTGTACTTATCTCTTTCTGAAAATGTGCAGTGTCTCTAGAATATATACCTAGGAGTATACATTTTGAATGTGTATGTATATGTTCTAATTATTAAATATTTCAATATTGCATTCTAAGGTAGTTAGAACAATTGATATCCAACTGTTTATGGGTGTCTTGGTCCTTTTGGGCTGCTGTAACTGTACCATAGACTGAGTGGCTTATAAACAACAAAAATGTGTTTCTTAAGTTCTAGAGGTTGAGAAATTCAAGATCAAGTCACTGGCAGATCCAGTGTCTGGTGAGGGCCTGTTTCCTGGTTTGTAGATGGTTTCGTTCTTGCTGTGTCCTTACATGGCAGAAGGGATAAGGGAGCTCTCAAGTGTCTCTTTTATAAGGGCACTAATCTCATTCGTGAGGGCTCCACCCTCATGACCTAATTAACTTCCAAAGGCCCCACCTCCAAAAACCATCACAATGGGAATTATGTTTCAACATATGAATTTTGGGGGGACACAAACTTCAGTCTATAGCAATGGGACTTTTTGTGGCTCCAATTCTTCATCAACATTTCAGAGTGTTGGGCATCTTAATTTTTGCCAATCTGATGGATATTAAAGAGTATTTAATTACTGGCTAAATTTGCATTTCCCTATTAGTGAGTATGTTTTATATTTATTTACCTTTCACCTTCTCTGTATTCCCTGTTCATATCTTAGATCAATTGTTTCTACTGGATTATTTTTTCTTGTTAATTAATTAATGGAGAATATATGTATGTGTGCTTGCTGATATATATGTGTGTGTATATGTACTTAATTTATGGTATAGTTTGTTGTAGAAAAGTGTTTTCATTTGATGTTTCCAAATTTATCAATTTTTCTTTTTTTTTGATATGTATTATTTAACAAATCCCTCTGTGCTCTGAGGTGGTAAAGATATTCTTGATTATCCTTTTTTTTAAGTTTTGTTTTTCTTCTTTTCTTTTTTTTTCTTTTTGAGGAAGATTAGTCCTGAGCTAACATCTACTGCCAATCCTCCTCTTTTTGCTGAGGAAGACTGGCCATGAGCTAACATCCGTGCCCATCTTCCTCTACTTTATATGTAGGATGCCCACCACAGCATGGCTTGTCAAGCAGTGCGTAGGTCCGCACCTGGGATCCAAACTGGCAAACCCGGGCCACCAAAGCGGGACGTGCAAACTTAACTGCTGTGCCACTGGGCCGGAGCCTAAATTTTGTTTTTCTATATTTAAGACTTGAATACACTTGGAACTATTTTTATATAGTCTGAGATAAAGAGGATTTTGTTTTTTTACATGAATAATTATATTGACTGTATCCATCAAGATGGGCTATTTTTGCAGTGGTAACAAATTATCTCCCAAATTGCAATGACAACGCAATACAAATATTCTACTTGATCATGGCATGTATCCCCCATAGTGGAGGCGGGGCCCCGTTCCACAAGTAACTTGGAGATTGAGGCTCGGTTAGCTCTGCTATCTTGTAGCTGTATCCTCAGGAACATTCAGCCTCCTCCTTTAGTGCTGCAGGGGAAGAGCGTGCATAAAAATCTCACACTTGCTTTTCACATCACTTCCACTCACAGCTCCTTGGCCATAACTATTCATGTGGCTTAATGAAATTCAAAGCAATTTGGAAGTCTTCAATCTCCTTTAACAGAGAGGATAACTTGCTGTTTATGGAAACTAGTAGTGTCTACAACATAAATTTTTCCCAAGACTACTTATTTATTAGTCAATTTACTCCACTCTGATTTGAGATGTCACAAATGCATCGTTTTAATATATGCATAAATTTGTTTATTCATTCTATATTTTATTCCATTGTTCTGTTGGGCAAATTTTGTACTGTTAATATTGTTATTGCTTATTAATAAGTCCTCATATGTGGCAGGGTAGGTAACCCAACTTGCTCTTCTTCAATGTTGTCTTCTTGCCTATAATTAGCTCTTTGCTAATGTATAGATTTTAGAAGCACTATCTCAAGTTGCATCAGAAAATCCCATTAAGATTTCCACTAGAATTGTATTGACTTTGTAGATTCATTTGGTGATAAATTACATCTTTAAGATATGGAGTCTCATGATACATGAACATATGAATCTCCATTTATATATGTCTTCTCTTAAGTCCTTCAATAATGTTTTTTACTTTTCTCCATAAGTGTCTGACAAATCTTTCACTAAATTTATTTCTAGTACTTTACCCTTCTTCCTTCTTCCCTTCCTTCCTTCCTTCCTTCCTACTTTCCTTCCTTCTTTCCTTTTTTTCACATTTTCTACTTCAAATGTCATCTTTAGTCAGTATACAGAAATGCTATTGATTTTGAGTCCAGCAACCTTGCAGAACTCTCTTTTTATTTCTCGTCGTTTGCACAATAGCTTGGCTTTTCAGTATAGATTATCATATCATCTTCAAAACCTATGCCTTTCCCCCCCAATTCTTAAATCTTTTCTTTCATCCTTTTTCTTGTCTTGATTTACTAGCTAAGATCTCCTCTCCAAAGTTGAGCAAGTCATTGATAATGTTTTCCTACTGACTTTAAAGGGAATGTCTTCAATATTTTACTATTCAGTGTGTGGTCTGAGGTAGGTTTCCTGATATACTTCTTATCAGATTAAGAATTTCTCCTCTGTTTATATTTACTTGGAAGTTTTATTATCAACAATTAATATTGAATTTATTACACTAGGATTTCATTTGAATAAAATATCATGTATCTTTGCCTCTGTTTCCAAAGATTAAGACGTGGCTTTTTCTATTATTTGTTTATATATCTAGGCTTTACGCTATCCTGTGGTTATTTCTGAAAATATTTCCAGTTGCTTATGACACTTTAATGATTTTTGCTTTCTAAAAATGTGGTATCTCAATGAGCTTATGATCACATATCAGTTCTTGTTTAAAGCTGTTACATTTTTGTGTTTCGTGATTATAAATAAGTCTGTGTGTGTGGGTACCACATATGTATAGCCTGCAAGTTTTGGCTGATGATATTGCTTGCTACAGAGAGCAATTCACAAGTCAGAATTTAGGCCAGGAGTGTCCTATTAATTTCAAATTCATGATATTTTGATAAATTTGAGCTGAGATCTTTCAATATTCTGAAGACTATTTTTGCTAAGATGCTATGAGGCAATGGAGAGGAGGCTAGAGCAGTGGAAGGAGCCAATGACCTCCTTTTCCTTTTGTGGTAGCTATAGATGCCTCTCAGCCGCCACATCACTGAGGTTGTAGATTACTTGCAGGTATTCCAAGACATGGACATCCTTTTTTGAATTTTGCTTGTCGGGAGCAGAATCAGCATCAGCCTCTTTGCGACTGGTCACTCATTAGAAGGCCCATCTTTGTCACCAAACCTTCTTAATCAGCCAGAGGACTGAGAAGCTCCTTAGAAAAACAAATCAAAACAGAAAACAAACACAAAGCTAAGAGGGTTTTTTTTTTTTTTTCCCATCAAAAAAGAAAAAAAAAAGATAGAGAATTGAATTTAAATCAAATCACTCCTCTAAATCTTAGGAACTTCCTCCTCACACCTCAGGTCCAGATTTTGGTATAAAGAACAGAACCTTATCAGACTCCTATTTCCCGGCTGGTCTCCTGGTTCAGCAGGATTATGTGGCTGATAATCTACTACATTTATTTTCACTGAGGGCAGATTCTATCCATGTATATAAATTAGGGACAATGGAAATTAAATCCTAAAAATTGTCTGGGTAGTAGAAAATAACTGTCTAAAATACAGTCAAATCTCCATTGACCTACTTCCTATGATTCATGGGAAATTCATGAATACTGTAAAGTATGAGATGAAAGCTTATAAACATGTCAGTAAAACATCGGTCCTTATTGATGTTCTTTAAGAAAAAGTGGAAAAAACACTTATTCTGCACTTTTTATTTTTATAAAAGCTTCAAAATGACCATTAAGGGAAACGGAAGAGCATGGACTGTTAAGAGTTAAAGAAATCTCTAGCACCCTTACCTCTTTTACCAATTTAGGAGCTATGCTGCATATAATTACCAGACCAGTGACTATTTAACTCACCAGGGATATCAGTTTGTCTTCAAAATTATATTATTTTGTAAGTGAAGAGATATTTGAGTATTTTGGAAGAACTGAGTATGCATCCTTGCTCTTCAGCAGAGAGCACTGTCAGGTCAATGACCTCTGCAGGATCTCACTGAAGATGCCGAAGATGTGCTTATTCTAGGCCAGTTAGACAGTAACTGCTGGTGACACCAAGCGAGGTAGGGTATTGCCAAATCTGTAAGCCTTGATTATCGCCACACCATTGTCTGTTTTTCCTTGGAGTTTACATCTCTCTTCCCAAAGCACTTATTCTAGCCATCCATTTGCTTAGTTCATAAGAATGTTTATAACATTCCTGATCACAGAACATATCAATCAGTATGGCTACCTTCTCATTTCTCATTGGGAGAAAGCAGAGTCAATGTTGAGATGACCATAAATACTATTTATTCCTTTAGTTTTCCAGCTTATCGGAATGCCTATTTATATGCAAACCCTTATCATTTTGGTCAAAATTATTTGTTTGGTTCCACAATCTGTCCTGGACTCTAAAATCCTAGAGGGCAAGTCTTCTTCACATTCATCTTTGTATCTCCAATTGCAATCATACAGATAGCATTCAGTGAATCTGATCGTACCTCAATCAAAGTGCCCATCACAGTATAAAACAATGAGCTCTTAATTTTTGGTCTGCACGAGACAATTACAGTTTCGGCCAGGGCTCTAGAGCAATTATTTACAGTGATTCCTTTCTTACTCAAAAGTATCCCAAATTAGATGACAAATTATATGGCCACAACACTTATGTCTTTTTCTACCACTTGCTAAAGTTCCTTGATGGAAAAGTCCTTGCCTTATCCATCTTTGTATCCTCAGGATTTAGCTCAGCATCAAACATAGTGGACACTCCACTAAAGGTTATGGAACAAATTAGGTCAAAAGAAAAAAATCCTGAAATATTGTAAGTAATTTCCTACACATGAAAAATCTGTGACAAAGAAGTAAAGAAAGGCATGATATCATTCAGGGAGCTGGCAAGAAACCGAGTGCACATTCAAAGTGGGCAATTTGAGGAGAGTTTAATAAATGGACTTTGTACAAAGATGTGGACAAAAACATAAGGGAAAGAATAGAGGTAGAGAAGTAGCCTGGTGATTAACAAGGGAGGAGAGAGACATGGCCACCTCTAGGCTGATGGTGGGAGGGGTGGAAACAGTTAAATCCAGGGAAGAGGGAACTGCATGGAGAAGCCGTGGCCTTCAGTTAGGGATGCAGCCAGCCCATGTTGATCCTGCTGACAGGGACCAAGGAGACTACATAACCCTTCTTGCTGTTCTCCCTTTCTTCAGTCTTTTGCCAATACGGTCTATTGGCTAAACCCAAGGAGAAGCCAGAGGGGAAGGAAGCCAGTTGATATCCATTCATGTCAGCCTCTTGAAATCCAGAGCATAGTACAAATGGATGAAAGTGGTTTTTTTGGGGGGTAAACAGAAGCTATATAGCACAGCAGTATTGGAGAGGAAAATAAAATGCAATTAGAGATTTGGAATGGGAGTGAAGGATTTTAAAATTCTCTCTGAAGTTAAGAGATGTCACAATGCCAAGGCTTATAGAATAGAGTGCCTGGCATTCCTGGAGGCAGTGTCCATACCCAGCACTCGTA